GAGACCTCGTCTCACAGCTAGGCTCCTATCTGCTGTCTGCTCCTCCAACCCATTCTCCACACAGGTGCAAGAGCGATTGCTTGAAAATATAAATAACAATCACATAGTTGTCCTGGCCTTTGAATGAAGTCCAAGTAACTTACCCTCCATCAGTAGCTTGCCTCTATTTTCCTTTCTAGCAGCATTTCTCACCACTCTCACCTTCCTTTCCATGTTTTCACAACGAACAGCTCTCACTCTCTGAATGTGCCATGCTCCCCTTCACCTCCAGATTCCAGCACATGCTGCTGCCTCTGCTTGGGCACTCTTCTACAGCTAGCCTAAAATCTAGACACGAGTACCACTGATAAAGTCTCCTGTTCCTCATTTCTCACCTCTGGTCATTATGTCCTCTAAGTTCTGTCTACTTCTCTCCATCTTCACTTCACTGCCTAAGGTCCAGAGACCTCGTCTCTCACAGCTAGGCTCCTATCTGCTGTCTGCTCCTCCAACCCATTCTCCACACAGGTGCAAGAGCGATTGCTTGAAAATATAAATAACAATCACATAGTTGTCCTGGCCTTTGAATGAAGTCCAAGTAACTTACCCTCCATCAGGAGCTTGCCTCTATTTTCCTTTCTAGCAGCATTTCTCACCACTCTCACCTTCCTTTTCATGTTTTCACAATGAACAGCTTTCACTTTCTGAATGTGCCATGCTCCCCTTGGCCTCCAGATTCCAGCACATGCTGCCTCTGCTTGGGCACTCTTCTACAGCTAGACATTTCTTTGGTCTTAACCTAAAAATCATTTTGTCCAAAAAACTTAGATGTACTGAAGTCATCTGTGCCTCTCCTGTGGGGATGCTCCTCCACAGCCCACGTGCTTTCCTACTGTGCTGTCCCGTGACTTTCTATTTACCGGTCTGGACTTTGGTCCTCCTGAGCATGGAGCATGTTTATTGCCTGCATAGCTCCAGTCCGGGCACACGCCAGGCATTCAGTAAGTAATTATTAGAGGAGTAAATAATTAGATTCTTACCTTTCTCTCCTGTTTTTTTCCAATTTGTCTTTCAAAATCATAATTTCTTTGTTCAGAGCAAGTTGCTGGCCTTCTGAGTCATGTAATTCTTTCTTTAGATTTTTAATTTCATTTGCATGTATTCCTTCTCTTTTGGATAATTCTTCTTCATAAAATATACTTTTCTTTTCCAAATCTGTCTTTAGTTTCGTTATCTCTTGCTGATGTTCTATGCTATACACTCCTGGTGAGTAACTAATTTGTTTTTGCTATAATATTTTTCTTTGTACATTCCTTTATTATTGCGTATCTTACAGTCTTCTTCACAACAAGATTACATACCTGTATTTTCTGCTGGTACTTACATAATTATTTGTTTGACACTTAAAGTTTTAGTTTTATACACAAATATTGTTGGTGTATGGAATAAGAAAAAAAATCTACCAGCATCTTGTTTCTGATGTGGAACCAATAAAAGGTTAATAAATATGTTTGTGTTTTTAAAAGATTAAATTGGGGGAGGGGATGGTAGAGCTAGAATGTACAAAAAAAGAGAGGGGACTTCTACAGTGTTCGGGGAGAAGTGACAAGGTCTAATCTAATGTCTTTATATTCACTCTAGGAAAAATGATAGGTCTCTGCATTTAGATCAGGCATTCAGGAGAAGAAATTTGACTGAAAGCCACCTTTTCAGAAATTTGGTTGAAATGTACTCTCAGTAATAAGGAGATGTGTTAGCCCATCCCCAGATGATCCATCGCACCTAACAGAAGTCTGCAAAGCTTCCTGCGAGCCACACCAGGTCACTACCAAGAGAGACGGATGGAGACCTAGCCAAGCCTCCCATGCAAGTGGCAGTGGGTCTTGTCCAGGGAGGCAGCCCTGCATAAATATTTTAGCTCTCTCCTGGCAGATCATTTCTTCCCACTAAGCATGGTCTTCACTGCCTTCCGCCACGATTAGGAAGTCTTTATCAGCTTCCGGCTGGTAAAAACGGGAATTAGGATCCGAGGTTGGAAGGGGAGCTAACTTTGCTCCACACCAGAGAGCACATCACTAACACTCCTCTGACGCCTACAGGGGAGAACCCGAGCTTCACAAACGCGAACGCAAACGCTACCTTCAGTCCCTCCAGTTCGTTTTCCAGCTGCTTAGAATAGTGTTCGCTCTGTTCACGCAGCTTCCTGTCTTTAGACGCTTCGGCAGCTACAGCTTCTGTATGAACTTCCAGCTTTAACATACAACGAAAAAAAGCAGATTCAAGGTTCTAACTGTATGTCCAAGAAAATGGTTTTTCCCCAGGGGAATTTACCTTGTAACAAGAAGATAACTCAAATGTTGAAATTCATATTAAATAATATTACCAAACTAAAAAAATAACCTTTTTGAAAAGTTCGAGAATGAAGTCAATATCATTTCACTAGTCTGAAAAGGCAGCTGTAAGCACTACCGCGTGGACACTACAAACTTTGCCTGACTACTAACCTCTTTTTTGGCTCTTTCTGTTCTGCGCAGTTCTTGCCTTAAGCTTTCAACTTTTTGCATCACCAGGTCCACCTCTTCTTCCTTATCTCGGACATGGCGAGCAAGTTTCTGTTTCTGGGTGTGCAATTCTGTTAGCCGCTCATTGATCTCCATGAATTCCTGCATGGCCAGTTTCCTCTGACAGTGTGCGTCTTTCAGCTCTTTGGATTGGTTTTTTAATCGCTCACTAGCCTGGACTAGTTCCTACAGTTTTGTAAAAAGAATATAAGTTACCAATTCTGCAACCTATGAACCAAATTTGGCCATCAAAGTTGCTATAATGAAATCAAGAAGAGCCAAAATTATTCACCTTAGGATAAAATGAAATGAATTACTTTTGAACAGATATTCAGAGCATGGCACTCTGTTCATATTCTCAATTCTTTATGCTAAAATGCTAGCTGCAAAGGAACAGCAGATTTAACCTTCTAATACCCTGGTTCCTACAAATAACTAGAGTGTAGGAATATAAGATGTAATGGTCAAAATAGAGATTTTGTGATATTTAATGGGTATCTATGCATATAGAAAAGACGTGAAAAGCTCAATTAACAAGCTTCATATACAGAAGTTTGCACCCTCTACTGGGGAACACACATACTTCTCCAGCAAATATTGAACATTTAAAAATGTTACAGCCTAAGCCTGTGGTTGGCAAACTGTGGCTCGCGAGCCACATGAGGCTCTTTGGCCCCTTGAGTGTGGCTCTTCCACAAAATACCACGTGCGGGCGCGCTCGTACAGTGCGATTGAAAACTCATGGCCCATGAGTAGAAGTCGGTATTTTGTGGAAGAGCCACACTCAAGGGGCCAAAGAGCCTCATGTGGCTCGCGAGCCGCAGTTTGCCAACCACTGACTAGGCCATAAAGCAAGTCTCAGCAGATTCAAAAGGACAGATATCAAAGAGATTAAGTTCTTTTAATAACATTACCATTAAAATAGAAATAAAAAAATTAAAAGGCTAGCCCTGGCTGGGTGGCTCAATTGGTTGGAGCATCGTCCCTTACACCAAAAGGCTGCAGATTTAATCCCTTGTCAGGGTGCATATAGGAGGCAACCGATCAATGTTTCTCTCTCAAATTGATCTTTCTGGTCTCTCTCTCAAATCAATAAACATATCCTTGGGTAAGGATTAAAAAATTAAAGGCTAAAATTCCATAATAATTCATTGGTCAAAAAGAAAAATCATAAAAGAACTAAATTATCTATAATAAAAAATGCAAATAAGGAAAAATATTTAGTATATACTAAAACCTGAAGAGGCAGTAAAAATAGAAAAGTTGTAAGCATGAAATAACTTATATTGAAACTAAAAAGATGCTTGAAATGCAATGAAATTCCACATTAAAGAAAAAATAACACATTAACCTTTCCCCCAAATATGAGAAGGGGCATAAATTAATGAAAAAAGAAATGAGAGAATAATGAAGATCAACAAAACCAAAAGTTGGTTCTTTAAAAAACAAATAGAAAAACATCTGATGAGATCAAATAAGGGAATAAGAATAAATTCACCCCCCAAAATTAAGAGAGGTTATAACTACAAATCTAGGAGAGATAAAAAAAGATAATAAAAGAACACAATGAAAAACTTTGTTACCTTATGAAATGAACAAATGCCTACAAAATTTTAATTTATCAATAGTGGTTTCAAGAATAAATAAAATGCCTGAATAGTCCTATAACAATTAAAGTAACTAAATCAACAAACTTTCTCCCATCCATCCAGCAGAAGAGAATCTCCAAGCTCACATGGTTTTACAATTGAATCCTCCAATGTTTCAAAGGTACAAAATGTTCCTCTTATACAACAGTTTTCGGAGAATAGAAAAAGAGGCAATGCTACCTCATTCATTCTAAGGGACCAGTATAATCTTGATATCAAGGAAAGACCAGCCCTAGCTGGTTTGGCTCAGTGGATAGAGCATCGGCCTGTGACTGAAGGATCTCAGGTTCAATTCCAGTCAAGGGCACAGGCCTGGGTTGCGGGCTCGATTCCCAGTAAGGGGCGTGCAGGAGGCAACTGAACAATGATTCTCTCACCACTGATGTTTCTCTCTCTCTCCCTTCCCTCTGAAATCAATAAAAATATATTTAAGAGAAAAGCCCAGAAAGCCCAGCTCGTATGACTCAGTGGTTGAGTGATGATCCATACACTAGCAGGACACAGTTCGATTCCCACTCAGGGCACGTGCCTGGGTTGTGGGCTCAGTCCCCAGTAGGGGGCGTGCAGGAGGCAGTCCATCAATGATTCCGTCTCATCACTGATGTCTCTATCTTTCCCACTCCCTTGCTCTCTGAAATCACTAATGTGGCCAGATTATTATGACCGGTCAGATTATTATGAGCACCCCATCAGTACTTCGTTGGGCCACCTTTTGCCTTCAATACTGTGGCGATTCCTCTTGGCATTGGCTCCCCGAGATGTTCAAAGGTGACGTGAGGAATCTGACACTGTGCCTGATGAATAGCACTGTCCAGTTCTGTGAGATTTGAGGGTTGTGGAACCAGCTGCCTGATGGCTCTTTTAACTTCGTCCCACAAATGCTCAATTGGATTGAGATCTGGTGATTGTGGGGGCCACCTAAGCAAGGTAAAGTCTCCCTCATGCTCTTGAAACCACTCCTGCACAATATGAGCACCGTGACATGACATATTGTCTTGTCGGAAGAAGCCA